TGCGAATATCAATGAAAAAGATATAAATGGAAGAACAGCACTTTATAGCGCAGCAGAATATAATAGTAAAGAAACAGCCGAACTTCTTATTTCACATGGTGCGAATATTAATGAAAAAGATAAAAATGGAGAAACCGCTCTTCATTTTGCAGCAATTTATAATAGTAAAGAAACAGCCGAACTTCTTATTTCACTTGGTGCGAATATCAATGAAAAAGATATAAATGGAAGAAACAGCACTTTATAGCGCAGCAGAATATAATAGTAAAGAAACAGCCGAACTTCTTATTTCACATGGTGCGAATATTAATGAAAAAGATAAAAATGGAGAAACCGCTCTTCATTTTGCAGCAATTTATAAGAATAAAGAAACAGCCGAACTTCTTATTTCACATGGTGCGAATATCAATGAAAAAGATATAAATGGAAGAACAGCACTTTATAGCGCAGCAGAATATAATAGTAAAGAAACAGCCGAACTTCTTATTTCACATGGTGCGAATATTAATGAAAAAGATAAAAATGGAGAAACCGCTCTTCATTTTGCAGCAATTTATAAGAATAAAGAAACAGCCGAACTTCTTATTTCACTTGGTGCGAATATCAATGAAAAAGATATAAATGGAAGAACAGCACTTTATAGCGCAGCAGAATATAATAGTAAAGAAACAGCCGAACTTCTTATTTCACATGGTGCGAATATTAATGAAAAAGATAAAAATGGAGAAACCGCTCTTCATTTTGCAGCAATTTATAAGAATAAAGAAACAGCCGAACTTCTTATTTCACTTGGTGCGAATATCAATGAAAAAGATATAAATGGAAGAACAGCACTTTATAGCGCAGCAGAATATAATAGTAAAGAAACAGCCGAACTTCTTATTTCACTTGGTGCGAATATTAATGAAAAAGAAAAATGGAGAAACCGCTCTTCATTTTGCAGCAATTTATAGAATAAAGAAACAGCCGAACTTCTTATTTCACTTGGTGCGAATATCAATGAAAAAGATATAAATGGAAGAACAGCACTTTATAGCGCAGCAGAATATAATAGTAAAGAAACAGCCGAACTTCTTATTTCACTTGGTGCGAATATCAATGAAAAAGATATAAATGGAAGAACAGCACTTTATAGCGCAGCAGAATATAATAGTAAAGAAACAGCCGAACTTCTTATTTCACATGGTGCGAATATCAATGAAAAAGATATAAATGGAAGAACAGCACTTTATAGCGCAGCAGAATATAATAGTAAAGAAACAGCCGAACTTCTTATTTCACATGGTGCGAATATTAATGAAAAAGATAAAAATGGAGAAACCGCTCTTCATTTTGCAGCAATTTAAAGAATAAAGAAACAGCCGAACTTCTTATTTCACTTGGTGCGAATATCAATGAAAAAGATATAAATGGAAGAACAGCACTTTATAGCGCAGCAGAATATAATAGTAAAGAAACAGCCGAACTTCTTATTTCACTTGGTGCGAATATTAATGAAAAAGATAAAAATGGAGAAACCGCTCTTCATTTTGCAGCAATTTATAAGAATAAAGAAACAGCCGAACTTCTTATTTCACTTGGTGCGAATATCAATGAAAAAGATATAAATGGAAGAACAGCACTTTATAGCGCAGCAGAATATAATAGTAAAGAAACAGCCGAACTTCTTATTTCACATGGTGCGAATATTAATGAAAAAGATAAAAATGGAGAAACCGCTCTTCATTTTGCAGCAATTTATAAGAATAAAGAAACAGCCGAACTTCTTATTTCACTTGGTGCGAATATCAATGAAAAAGATATAAATGGAAGAACAGCACTTTATAGCGCAGCAGAATATAATAGTAAAGAAACAGCCGAACTTCTTATTTCACTTGGTGCGAATATTAATGAAAAAGATAAAAATGGAGAAACCGCTCTTCATTTTGCAGCAATTTATAAGAATAAAGAAACAGCCGAACTTCTTATTTCACTTGGTGCGAATATCAATGAAAAAGATATAAATGGAAGAACAGCACTTTATAGCGCAGCAGAATATAATAGTAAAGAAACAGCCGAACTTCTTATTTCACATGGTGCGAATATTAATGAAAAAGATAAAAATGGAGAAACCGCTCTTCATTTTGCAGCAATTTATAAGAATAAAGAAACAGCCGAACTTCTTATTTCACTTGGTGCGAATATCAATGAAAAAGATATAAATGGAAGAACAGCACTTTATAGCGCAGCAGAATATAATAGTAAAGAAACAGCCGAACTTCTTATTTCACTTGGTGCGAATATTAATGAAAAAGATAAAAATGGAGAAAACCGCTCTTCATTTTGCAGCAATTTATAAGAATAAAGAAACAGCCGAACTTCTTATTTCACTTGGTGCGAATATCAATGAAAAAGATATAAATGGAAGAACAGCACTTTATAGCGCAGCAGAATATAATAGTAAAGAAACAGCCGAACTTCTTATTTCACATGGTGCGAATATTAATGAAAAAGATAAAAATGGAGAAACCGCTCTTCATTTTGCAGCAATTTATAAGAATAAAGAAACAGCCGAACTTCTTATTTCACTTGGTGCGAATATCAATGAAAAAGATATAAATGGAAGAACAGCACTTTATAGCGCAGCAGAATATAATAGTAAAGAAACAGCCGAACTTCTTATTTCACATGGTGCGAATATTAATGAAAAAGATAAAAAATGGAGAAACCGCTCTTCATTTTGCAGCAATTTATAAGAATAAAAAACAGCCGAACTTCTTATTTCACTTGGTGCGAATATCAATGAAAAAGATATAAATGGAAGAACAGCACTTTATAGCGCAGCAGAATATAATAGTAAAGAAACAGCCGAACTTCTTATTTCACATGGTGCGAATATTAATGAAAAAGATAAAAATGGAGAAACCGCTCTTCATTTTGCAGCAATTTATAAGAATAAAACAGCCGAACTTCTTATTTCACTTGGTGCGAATATCAATGAAAAAGATATAAATGGAAGAACAGCACTTTATAGCGCAGCAGAATATAATAGTAAAGAAACAGCCGAACTTCTTATTTCACTTGGTGCGAATATCAATGAAAAAGATATAAATGGAAGAACAGCACTTTATAGCGCAGCAGAATATAATAGTAAAGAAACAGCCGAACTTCTTATTTCACATGGTGCGAATATTAATGAAAAAGATAAAAATAGAGAAACCGCTCTTCATTTTGCAGCAATTTATAAGAATAAAGAAACAGCCGAACTTCTTATTTCACTTGGTGCGAATATCAATGAAAAAGATATAAATGGAAGAACAGCACTTTATAGCGCAGCAGAATATAATAGTAAAGAAACAGCCGAACTTCTTATTTCACTTGGTGCGAATATTAATGAAAAAGATAAAAATGGAGAAACCGCTCTTCATTTTGCAGCAATTTATAAGAATAAAGAAACAGCCGAACTTCTTATTTCACTTGGTGCGAATATCAATGAAAAAGATATAAATGGAAGAACAGCACTTTATAGCGCAGCAGAATATAATAGTAAAGAAACAGCCGAACTTCTTATTTCACTTGGTGCGAATATCAATGAAAAAGATATAAATGGAAGAACAGCACTTTATAGCGCAGCAGAATATAATAGTAAAGAAACAGCCGAACTTCTTATTTCACATGGTGCGAATATCAATGAAAAAGATATAAATGGAAGAACAGCACTTTATAGCGCAGCAGAATATAATAGTAAAGAAACAGCCGAACTTCTTATTTCACATGGTGCGAATATTAATGAAAAAGATAAAAATGGAGAAACCGCTCTTCATTTTGCAGCAATTTATAAGAATAAAGAAACAGCCGAACTTCTTATTTCACTTGGTGCGAATATCAATGAAAAAGATATAAATGGAAGAACAGCACTTTATAGCGCAGCAGAATATAATAGTAAAGAAACAGCCGAACTTCTTATTTCACTTGGTGCGAATATTAATGAAAAAGATAAAAATGGAGAAACCGCTCTTCATTTTGCAGCAATTTATAAGAATAAAGAAACAGCCGAACTTCTTATTTCACTTGGTGCGAATATCAATGAAAAAGATATAAATGGAAGAACAGCACTTTATAGCGCAGCAGAATATAATAGTAAAGAAACAGCCGAACTTCTTATTTCACTTGGTGCGAATATTAATGAAAAAGATAAAAATGGAGAAACCGCTCTTCATTTTGCAGCAATTTATAAGAATAAAGAAACAGCCGAACTTCTTATTTCACTTGGTGCGAATATCAATGAAAAAGATATAAATGGAAGAACAGCACTTTATAGCGCAGCAGAATATAATAGTAAAGAAACAGCCGAACTTCTTATTTCACATGGTGCGAATATTAATGAAAAAGATAAAAATGGAGAAACCGCTCTTCATTTTGCAGCAATTTATAAGAATAAAGAAACAGCCAAACTTCTTATTTCACATGGAATAAATATTAATGAAAAGGATAATGATGGAGAAACAGCACTATCTATAGATAAAGAAATAGCCGAATTTCTTATTTTGCGTGCCAAAGAATAATGTTCTTACATAAGATAATATTCTTTATTTTTTGATATTTTCTAAGATTGATTTGATTATAAATAAAAAATAATTCAATTTTCCCCACTGATTCTATACATTTCTCTGTATTTCTAGTCCATTTAATTCAAAAAAAAACTTTATAAAGAATATAGAATTAAATTAAACAAATCTGAAGTTTTGGAAAAAAGATTTTCAGAAATATAGATATTTATTCAGAAGATACAATTTACAGAGCAATTATGCATAATGATCTTTACGGAGAGAGAAGAATTTAATAAAGATCAAACACTAATGAGTTGTTTATATCCAGATTGTTGACCAAGATATTCATTACTTGAATTATGTTGTTACCACGGTGCAGTTGATTGTTTCAAGTTATTGAGAGCGAAATTTAACTCAAAAATAACTTACACATGTATTAAATTTTCATTTTTAGGAGGAAATCCAGAGATCATGAGTGAATGTTTGAAATATAAGAAACCATATTATCAATGCATGGAATATGCAATTATTTCACACAACATTGATTTTGTTACTTTCTTGATGAATGAATACAATATAGGGCTCGATTTACTTCATTGTGGATGGCATCATAATCTTGAATCATTTTTGATTTATTTCGAGCAAACAAATGATATTAACAAATGCTTTATTTATTCATCAGTGTTCAATACTCCATCCCTTTGTGAATATTTCCTTTCACATGGAGCAAATGTCAATGAAAAAAATGATTATGGAAAAACCACACTTTATATTGCAGCACAGTTCAATAGTAAAGAAGTTGCCGAACTTCTTATTTTACAAGGTGCAAATATCAATGAAAAAGATAATTTTGGAAAAACCGTTCTTCAATGTGCAGCATGTTATAATAGTAAAGAAATGTCCGAACTTCTTATTTCTCATGGGTGCAAATATCAATGAAAAATAAGGGGATGGGAAAAAATATTTGAAAGCTTCGTGTATAGACGTATGATAAATAAAAATAATGAAATTTAAAAATAACGTTAATATTCTTTTATTATAAGACAACTATATCAGATTATATTCAATCTTAATAATGTAGCATACTTAGATAAGATATGCTAGAATTACTTTTATTATATTGGAATTTTTTGCATAGCACTCAAAATATTTGAATATGATCAAGCCGATTGGATATTTCTAAAAATGTACATATACATAGTACACTTTGTTCCATTTTTCTCATGAAATGTATAATGATCATTGAAGCACTTCGAATACTGCATTAAATTACTTGCACTTAGGGCACTAGTCTCAATAAAAAGCAAGAAACTAAGCTTTAATTGATAAAAATTAGTTTGTTACTAATATTGAATTTCATTGAACTCCAGATGAAAGCATAAGATCAGGATTCTCTTCACCACGCCTTATTGATGCACGCATTGGCTGCAGCTTGCATTTTTTAAATAGTCTCTTTTTAATAACTGGTTTTGTCTTTTCTGTAATCAATTGAATTGGAATGTGTTGAGTGTCGAACTTAGGAACTTCTATCAATTTAGAATTTAGAGCCATATCCTCCAAATGAGAAATTTCTGCCTCACATTTATTGAGTCTTGTCGTAACTTTTGTTGAGAAGTCAGTAAAATTATCGAATAGTTTATTTAATCGAGTCTCTAATACGTTTTTAAGCATTGCGTTAGAGTCACTAATTTGTTGCCTTGACATAACGTTTAATCGATCGAAAAGAGTTTCTACATACTCTATTGAAGACTTTTCCTCAACAAGCTGTGATTCTGCTTTTGTTCCGAGAATAATTTCTATATAACGTAATACTGTCAAAAAAGCTGTTTCCATATCATCATTATCTATACAGTCATGACAAATTAATTCTGGATCGCGTGAGCTTTTTTCTAAAACTTGAAGTCTAGATTTCTCTCCTTTTTTTATGTTGATTAATTCCATTTGGTATCTTTCAATCTGCTCAACAGCAAGCTTGTCTGCTTTTCCCTCGATTTCAATTCGCATGTTTTCGATTTTTTCAACTAATTCTTTTTGATCTTCATCCAATTCAATCATTCAACAAAAATGATAAAAACTTCAAAGCAAATTATCGATTAAAGCTCACCAAAAATACCTGTATATCAAATAACATCATCAACCAGGTTTATAAAAAAAAATTGATATCAAAATTCGATTTTATAATAGGAGAATAATTTAGTTATAAGAATTATATCAATAGGGGAGAAGCTTCCTAAACTTTTTAATCCCATAAATATGGTCATTATCTGGAATAAAGAGTTAAGCGTCATATGTCACTTTTTGTACTAAGGAAACATCGACTTTATGCGTTATGACTTTTCGATGAGGAAACAAGTGTTCACGTATTATAAACTTCCTTATTCCAATAAACCGACCCTAAACATAATTAATTCTAAGAATGATAATGGTCTCTTTTCTATGATAACCAAATCAATTTGGTTATCATAGTAAAGCACCAAAAACTGGAATAGGAATCGGCAATATGGAATCATGAAGCAACTCGGATAAAATAAATATGGAACATTCATACATCCATTCCCTATTTTTAACCATATTATATTTTCAAACAAAATTCTCGTACTATTTTCAATAAAATTTGCATAACCTTGTTATTACTCTTAGGCGAAAGATGATTTTAATGTTAATTTTATAGAAGAACTTTTAATGCATAATAAAATAACCATTTCCTATAAATTTAGACTTAAAACGGTGACAATAAACAAGCTTTAGTCTAGAAATTAATTTTCTACTACTATAAATGCATCTTTATCTTTAATTAAAAAAAATTTATCAATTTTATTATCCAGATGAAAAAAGAAGTGACATATGATATTTTATCTAATTTAAAATCTTTTATTGATTGTTTTTAAAAACTTTGCATTTTGTATGAGTATTTCATGTTTAAATCAGTATAAATACGCAAAATACTTATGAAATTCCAGCTGTTATTCAGTACTATTCATTTTTCAGCAATCATTAACTGTGGAAGAGTATGGCAAACGTTCGATAATGATCATGTATACTCAGATCATCAAGAATGAATTAAAGTCAATGCAGGGAAATGGATAATCCGATTAAAAACCCCAAAAAGGAAAAAGATATTATATGAACGTCTCACAAATGGTTAGTACTAAGCTCTTTCCTGATGATTGAATATTCTTTCATATTTTTGTATATTGTAAGGGATTTTCTCCCCAAATATATAATACCTTCCTTATAAACGATCTACTTTCTTTGAATACAAGTATAATTTTACATTTTAAAAAAAATTTATTTTTTCAAATTTATCTTATAACAATAGAGATTTATATATGTGTGTGTCAATATAGGCTTTAGTGGTATAAAATTGGGTAGATTTTGTTTTATTTTGAGTAAAAAATTCAAAAAATACTACCTCATTTTGCGTGCAAAGGAATAGTCAGAGCTATTTAATAACATTTTACGAATGAACTATGGAATTACTATAACTTTTGAAGAAATTTCAAAGTTAATAGAAGATTGTATTTTAGAAATCAGCTAAAAGAATGATGTGCATGCATCAAGCGTTAAAGTATCCTAATCAGAATATAGTAATATACAATGATTAGCAAAGCAGATTTGAATCGGCAAGAAGAGTTGCTTAAAAAATCAGTTGAGTCTTCTCTAGTTTCCACACTGCCTATTCCTGTTTAAGTGCGGTTATTCCTATTCCAGTTTTTGGTGCTTTACTATGATAACCAAATTGATTTGGTTATCATAGAAAAGAGACCATTATCATTCTTAGAATTAATTATGTTTAGGGTCGGTTTATTGGAATAAGGAAGTTTATAATACGTGAACACTTGTTTCCTCATCGAAAAGTCATAACGCATAAAGTCGATGTTTCCTTAGTACAAAAAGTGACATATGACGCTTAACTCTTTATTCCAGATAATGACCATATTTATGGGATTAAAAAGTTTAGGAAGCTTCTCCCCATACTTTTATAGAAATTTAAACGTAAGCTGAGAACTGAGAAGCTGAAGTATCGGTTGGTGCAGCACCGCCCTTCTTCTGCTCGACTGCGACACCAATCTTGAAGGTACGGAATGTAAAGAATCCGATGATTCCTCCAAGAAGGAAACCGGCAAGAACATCATCAACATGATGAGCGCGGTCCCAGATTCTGGAGGCACCGACGAACAATGACCAAACTATTGGAGCTAGTTTGAGCATCGCTGCGAACATTGAGCCTGATGGCCATATTTCTGTAATTAAATGTGCGATAAAGATGGCTGCAGCCATTGATTCTGATGCATGACCAGATGGGAATGAGAAAAATTGATCGTAAAGGCTGGCGCCAGAAAGAACTGTTGAGCATTGTAAATAAGAACCATCTCCGCCGCAAACTTGCATTGTATCAGGGCGTGGCCTACCAACTAAGTGCTTTAAGATAGATCCGATGAAAATAGTAAATGCAATTGAAAAGTAATATGATGAGAGTATAGCCGAAATTGTGTAATCTCTACGATGAAGAATCCAAATGAAAAGAGTAATAAGTGCACCAATTCCGTAAAGGAATATGCAGAGCTGAGGATATGATACAGTTGTTGTACGTTTTGGATTATTTATATCTGAATTGATATAAGCAACGAAATCCTCGCTAAAAGGGATCTTTTCGATGTACATGCCTACACCAAGGAAAATACCTGTAAGAATCCAGTCAAAGACTGCCCATTTTTTCAGTAAAGAATAAATATCTGCAAATCCCATTTATTGTCACTTTTGGACGTCACATTTTTTGCCCTAAATTGTCACTTTTAAATTAACGTTCTAATTTTTTATTGAGATTTTATATTCAAAATGAGATCAACTAGAAGGCCAAACACAGCATTACCTAATATAAATAGACCCAAATCATCCGCTCAAACTGTTCAAATGAGCGATGTTCAAAAACTTAAGCTTAAAATCCAAAAAATGGATTTAGATAAAAGACAAATGAGATCAAAGACACAGAGAATGAAGCAAATTTTGCAAGAAAGGAATGCAGAAATCGATTTAGTATTTAAAGAAGTAAATGAAAAGAACTCCATTAAAACAGCAAGTAAAGAAACAATTGCTCAATTAAAGAAAAACGTTTCATCACTCGAAAACACATTAGAAGCCCGCAAAAAAGATTTACAAGATATAATGTTTAATGATAGGCTCGCTCTGTCTGATGAATTACAGCAAGAGATCAAAATTTACTATTTAGAACACGAACGTCTCAAAAAACAATCTAAAGCTGTCGCTGATGGTGAAGGCATAGTTAAATCCGAACTCGAAAGGCTACAAAGGGAACTTTCGGAAAAGTCGTTAAATTATAAGGCAATTCAGAATTTAGAAGGAGATTTCAGAACTGTTGTTGACAAAATCGTTTCCTACAAAAGTTCCGAACTTCGTATACGTAATGATAACCTTGCAAACTTTTTGGCTTCTCATCCGAATAAATTAAATTCTAAAGAGAAAGAAGTACAACAAGAAATCGATCAAACAAGAGAAGAAATAAATACACTCAAAGAAGAGACTTCAAAGATCGAAGAAAGCGAAGATCAAATGATTAAAGAATTTGAAGAAATTATTACACAACAGAAGCAAAGAATCAAAGAACAGATTAAGATAATGCATATGGAAGATGGAACGTATGAAGAAGAGGAAGAAATCGTTGAATTTAATGAAGAGGAAATGGAAGAAGAACAACCACAAGAAAACCAACAAAATGGTGAAGAAGAGGAACAAATGAATAATGGAGAACAAAATAATGAAAATGAAAAGAAGAATGAAGAGGAAGAAAGTTATGAAACTTCTGAAATTACAAATAACGAACAAAAATTAAATGAATCCTCAATTCCAATGACAAAAGGATACGAAGATGAGAACACTTTTGATAACCCGATCAAGAATGTCCTTGAAAACGCCTTTGAAACATCGAAAGAAAATGCAGAAATTCATGACAACCAAGAAGAAGAAAAGAAAGAAAATCCAAACGAAGAAGAAAATCTTGAGAACTCAGGTAACGAAGAACCACAAGAAAAAGCAGAAAATAAAAATTCAAATGAAAATCCTGAGACAAAGAACGAAGAAAACAATGAAAAGAAGGAAGATGAGAATCAAGAAGACGGGAAATCCGAGAAACCAGAGGAGAACAACTCACTTTTCAGTCCAATTAAGAATGCATTGGGAGATGGAGTCATTGATAACAACAATGAGGACAAACAAGACGAATCAAAGCAAGGCGACAACAAAGATGGCCAAGATCAGGATCAACAGACTCAAAATAAAGATAATTCAGCAAATCCAAACGAAGAAAAGGGAGAAAGTGAGCTGAAACAAGATGAAAAGACATCAGATAAGCCAAATGATGAAGCCCAGACTAATAGCAGCAAGGTTGAAAGCACTCACGAAGTTAATTTCGATGAAAACGATGAAGATAAACCAGAACAAGAGGATGGAAAGCAAGCTTTATTAGATTTATCAAATAAAGTGAAAGAAAAGTTAACATTACGCCTTGGAGAGGATAACAAAACATTCCTAACTAATAGTGCTACTTCTGGAGAGCAAAATCAAAATTAATTTTGTTTGTTTCTTTATCTGTTCGGTGTATTTTTGTGTTTATTAATAAAATGTGTTGATTTAATATTTAAGGGTTCTGACCGACCACCTATCTCCTCTCAATTTTCTTTCACTTTGAGACACTGTATATGCCTACATGATTGATATTATTCCTTGCACATCACACACTATGATAGTGTTGCTTCATAATATTCTATACATATATGATATGTGAATCTCAAATCCACTATATGAATTTGAAAAAAGCAATTTATGGTATCAATTTTTGATTTATTCATTTTAAAAATATGTGGTAAAAATGCCTCGAGTTTGACTAAAAATTTTCAACATTTTCAAAGTTACGGATTTGGCAGCACTTATATGTACAGAAAATATCCATCGCCAAGCGGGGCTTCGAAGCCACCCCAATCCATTTTTAAATGATATATCTTATAGGTTGGAAAGATGTACCGGGCGTTTAGGCTGAAGCCAAGTATTCGCCAAGATATGAGCCACCAAAGTTTAAACTAATCTCTTGTTCAAGCTAGAAACGATCTGAAAATATCTTTCTCTTTATAATGAACAAAGTCAAATGAGATTAACTGTAGCAATTGTAAAACTTATTTTAATTGGAATGAGGAAGAGATTGATAAAAATTAATCTCTCATTTGAAAATGAGAATTAAGTTATTTTTCCAAACAACAGTCGAACAGTTTACTTTCTGGTGTATGTACTAAAGAAATCAGCATCATCCATTACAATACACTTAGTAAAATAATGTGTTAAAGAATGTGATTAAAAATTTAAATTTTTACTCATCTTGATACAAAGCATTTTTATGATAAGAAGATAGATATAAGCGTATCTGATCTGCCTGGGATTTGGCCAATTGATTGACAATTTCAAACTCTACTGCCTTTATATTTTCATTGCGTTTTGCTCCCATCGCAATCAAATAGCAAACTACTTTTGCATTGTTACTCTTTTCTGCAAGCATCAAAGGAGTAAATCCTGCACGATCGCTTTCATCATAGTTCATTCCTTTTTTGATCAAATACTACACTGTTTCAAGTTGACCGAAAAATGCAGCATGCATTAACGCATTCCATCCACATCTGTCTTTTAATTCAAGATCTGCATCTGCATCAATTAATTGCTCTACAGCATCAAGACTATCAGAATGTGTTGCAAACATTAATGCTGTTGTTCCTAAGTTGTTTTTCTTATTAACATCTGCTTCAGCGAGGAGCAAAAACTCTATGTTTTCATCATTTCCATTCATTGCTGATATCATCAAAGGTGTTGTTCCATTAGAATCAACGCAATTGACATCAAGATGATTCGAAATCAACATATCTACAAGAACACCATCTCCTTCAGCCGCTGCAATATGCAGCGCAGTGAATTCATTGTTATCACGTGCATTTACATTGCATCCGGCCTTTAAAAGACTTTTTACAAGATCATGTCACCATCATAAACTGCTTTTAGAAGAATTGTTTTTCCTGTTTCGTCTTTTTCTTCACTGAGCTTAGTTTCAACTGCTGCTTTGATCATTGGTTCTGAAATAGAATAATATCCGAATTCATGATAAATTTCTGAGAATTCCAGATCACTTTTCTTTGAATCAAAATATAATTTGAGATCATCTTTAAATTTTTCGAGTTCTTTTTCTTTTTGATTCTTCTCGTAAACTAAATATGACATTGTATCTATTATTAACTGACATAATTTAAAATCTAAATTATCACGCATGAATTCAAGAAGAGAAACCAGATATTCTATTTCTTTGCACACCACCTGTGGCTTAAAGATATATTTGATAGAATCGCCTGTATTATCATGATTAATGCACAAAGAAATCAATTTTTGATATTCTTCTTGTTTGAGTGTCGTATTTTCTAAAGCTTGGAATAGATTACTTCCTTCTAAATGTTGAAACAAAGTACCATCATTTATATAATCAATGACGCTCGGAGCCATTTATAAATGATATGGAGAAAAAAACTGATTTTGTAAAAGAAAAAAATTAAAATTGAAAGAACCTTTTGACTTGAAAAAACTTATGAAATCTGATCAAGTACCCATTGATAAAACTAGATTTATATTGTTGATGTTATGAAAAATGAAATCAATTAAGTATAATTCAATCTTTCGGATCTAAATTATTTTCAGAACTGGTTCTACAACTGATATATGGTGTCGATCCATGGAATAGGAGTATTATATTGCATTCTCGCATGGCTAACTAGGATTTTAATCTAGCCGATCATCATTTGAATCATAATTAATCGTATGAAGTGGTGTTTTTATTGTTGGAATTTTTAATTTTTTTTTATTTTTTTTTTTCGCAATCATTTTTTATATAAGAAATGGAAGAGTTTGAAAGATCACAAAGCATAGAAATACCTAGAGGTCAGACCGATTTTTTCAGCAAACGAATTAATCAATATGAAGAAAATTATATCAATATGTTAACAGGACCAAATGATCATTTGGATTGCTTGCATTATTTGTTCGAGGATATCCAATCTTCATTGCAAAAAGCATATAAAATCAAAGCAGAACTTGAAGCTATCAAATTTGATCCAAAAATTAGTGAAGAATATAGAATAGAAGCAATCAAAAAGAACAGAAAAGAACAAATAGACAAGTTTAACAAGATGCCCGAAGCCATTACTGATGCAGTTAAAAATAATAATTTTTATCAAGCAAATTACATATATGAAAAGAGTATGAATTTCGCAGAAGAATGTGGGAAATACGATCGCAGGATAAATTTCAAATTTGATCGACGAGATTTGAATTATTATTATATCCATGCAGTTAACATGATGCAAACGCCCGGCCAAAGCATTTTCTTTTACACCTCAATTGCACAGTTTTTGAGAAGCATTACAAAACAAGAAAATCTTTTGAAGTACGCCGATTCCGTTTTTCCGATGTTCAAATTGAGTTTAGAAAGGATGTTTGAAGATCCTCTCTTCACGCAACTCAAGGTTGACACTGTTGAAGAAGCTTCAAGGCAGTTAACAGTAATTTTTGAACATGCAACTAAATTGTATCCAGAATTGAATCCAATGAAAGAGAGGTACATTAATGACTTCATAAATAATGTAAAGAACTACCTTGGAGGCTCAATTATTGATAAAGTTCAAACAATTGAAAAAAAATTGGGAAAATCTGGAGATTTATCATCATACGTTATCACAAGTTACTTACTTAATGAATCAAAGATTGATTTCTCAAGTCCTATTATCGATGAATATAACATTTCCAATTTCATTTCAATTTGTGTTCATAATCCTAATATTTGGCATTCGATAAACAAAGACAGTCCTTCTGATAGATTTAATCAGTACTGTGCAAGATTAAAAGAACTTGCTGACCATAAATGGAAAGAAAATGCAGATTTTTCAGTCACTTTCCGAAATCAGATCAAAAGTGCTAAGAAATCAAAGTTTAACACCATTGCAGAAATATCTTCAAAGAAATTGGATTATGAAGTGGTTGTAAATGAATATATGGATTTCAGACCGTTCTTCAAGGAAATGTCTGATGAGGCACTCATGATTAAGATACTCTCTAAGATTGCAAAGTTTTCATACCTTGCAGATGCATCTGATTGGGAAAATAGAAGAAATATATTTTATGAAGTTGCTGAAAAGTTTAAAATTAGAAAAAGAGCACTACTACCTGCCCTCAGGACACTTGATATCAGTTTCAAGCAGCAAACTCCAGAGGATGCAAAGAAAAAGAAGAAATAAAATTAATATCCTATTATAAATTAAACACATTCTTAATTTAAACTTTCATAATTATATCGATACTATTTTTCTTGGTCTTTAATGTTGATTTCAAAGAAATAATTCCTCAATAAAATTTCCTACTAAAATATAGAATTGATTACGGAACTATTTGAAACTTATGGATGTAATTTGCAATAAACCAAAATCCAAAAGTTTTTCCATCAACATCACAAAAAGTGCAAAAAAAATCCAGAAATTAAATAATTTTTCGAAACATCCTTTGATGTTAATATGGGTTAATAGTCACAGAATATTTTGAATTGGAAATTTCTGAGAAGTAACGGATCGTGGATAAATTTTGTCACTTTTGAATATGTATGATATGAAAATAATATTGTATGATATACAAACAAAATTCTTGTGAAAATTTTGGTAAGGTTTACAATAATCAGTTTTCAACTCCTACAATTAAATTCTAAATATACAAAATATCTTCGATAAATTTTGAAAAATTATGAATTGAGAGTTTCTGTCACTTTACATTAAAACGATATATTCAATTTCGGCGGCTTTGCCACAATGCTAGCGATTTTCGCTACCTTAGCCTTAAGGGCCCAATCGCAACTTAAGGAGGAGTATTCTCCAAAGGAATATTACTACGATTCAAATGGCAAGACAGATTATTACTACTACGAAGAATCAAATGCACCAGAATACATTCTTGTAGACTACGATGCTGAAGAAAATGGAAACAACGAATACATTTACGAAGAACAAGATTACGATTCAAACGAATACGAGTACGTTTATGAAGAACAAGCTGAAGAAAATTCATATGAATATGTTGAAGCAGATTATCACGCAGTTGAGGAGAACGGCTATGATTATGTTGATGTTGATTATCATCAGGGTGAGGAGAACGGTTACGAATACATCGAAGTTGACTACAACTCCTTAGAAGAATATGAATACGCTGATCCAGAGGACAACTCCGAAGTTGAGTACGAATACTACAACAATGGCGATGAACAGCCAATTGTTTACTACGAGTGCGTTGAATCCAATGGTGAAGTCGAATACTTCGATGAAGAGGAGAACGGTGAAATCGAATACTTCGATGAGGAAGAGGAGAACGGCGCAATCGAGTATTTCGAGGAATACGACCCAGCTGAAGATCCAATCTTCGAAGACGGCCTCACAAGAAACGTTGTCAATGCTCACGTCCAAGTAGTTTCAGAGGACCCAATCTACGAATACACAGACAACGGAGTCCAACGCGTTCATGAAGAATCAAATGAACAAGGTGAAGTTGTTTACGCCGTTATGGAAGCTGATGAAGAAGAGACAAACGGACTTCCACGCCATGTTGTTTCAGCTCAAGTTGCTGAAGAATCAAACGAGCAACAGGGTGAAGTTGTTTACGCAGTTATGGAAGCTGACCAAGAAGAAGAGACAAACGGCCAAGGCGAAGTTGTTTACGCATTCATGCAAGCTGATGGTGAGGAAACAAACCAAGTCGTTGTTGCCCAAGAAGCAGAGGAAAACAGCCTTCCACGCAGAGTTATCTCCGCTCAAGTTGAACCAGAATCCAACGAACAGGGCGAAGTCGTTTACGCTGTAATGCAAGCCGACGAAGAAGAGGCCAACAGCCTTCCACGCCATGTTGTTTCTGCAAACGTTGAGCAGGAAGAAAACGGTCGCGTTGAATACGCTTATATGGCTGCATAAATAATTACTAGTTCATTTAACTGGAGAGTAAATAATATCACTAATAACATTAATATATATTTTCATAATAGTTATATAAGAAAAAAACTAAAATTAAATTTGCTATTTTCAAATTTTTTGGAGTTTTGTCATTGTTTTTTGTTTGTATTGCAAATATATCTTAATGTGTGTAATTGTAATCTGGTCCCGAAGGTTAACTACTAGTTTATCTGATGACGGTCAGATTCATATTCCATATATGTAATAACTCTTGGCACAAATGCATTATTTTAGCTTTGGTTTGCTGAAAATTATATAGAATATGGTAGAGAACTTGCCAAACAAATGAATATCAAACAACTTGCAGAAATTCATTCTCCATCTCTACTGTTCTATCTCAGTTTGGATTTGTCCTTGCGGTTTTGATAACAGACCTTTTTCATTATCAAATGTACCTAATTAAGTTTTTTGTGATGCGTTTGTGATGCTTCTTAAACGGTGTTTAGCCATGTATCAGTGAAGCAATGAATATTCTGTAATACTCATAATGAGTTCAGCATCTCTGCAAATATACCAAAGATAAAATAGAGAATAAAGAGATAATTTATTTAAATTTATATTAGTTACGAATATGTGCAATCAATCATGAACTTGACTAAAGAAAGCAACTTCACTTTACTTTTTTTGATGAATCAAAATAACCATATATCAAAAATATACTATAAATTATGCGTTTCAGATATTATGTCATCAACAGCAGATCGCGATAGTGGATGTTTTACGTGCCAAGTTCAAATAAATAACGAAGTTAATTACCTAAATTATCAAAATGTAAGGATTTCTGGCCTAGTAGTAGAATCAGTTGATTTAGGATTCAAAATAGATGATGGTACTGGTTTAATTAAAGTTATTTATTCTAATGATGAAGAATATGATTTACCAAAAATTGGCGACTACGTTGAAGTGCTAGGATATGTTGTAAATCAAACTCCTTATTTCATTAAAATGAAATGTGTCTCAATAAAATCAGATCCAATGTTCGAAGTTCGACATATGCTTGAAATGGCTTCAATACATAAAGATTTCTTCAAATTCCAGTTCCTTACAGATGATACCTTACTTGCTTCTCAACAAAGTCAGAGCACAGAAATATCAAAATTATCTCAAACAGTTTTCGAATTCATCAAATCCAAAAACGGCAATCCAACAACCAATGATGAGATTGTTGAGTTATGCGGCAATCAAGAGACTGCTACCCTTGTAATTGATGCTTTATTAACTGATACATTAATTTATCAGGATGGACAGAACTATTATCAGATTTGATTGTTTTTGGATATGATTTCCATTTTGTTTGAATAAATTCTTATAAAATATTCAATATTATTAAATAATACTGATTTTTCTCTAAAAAATGACTTGAAATCTCGAAAAAAAATATCATGCAGAACATAATATTATAAAATACAAACAAAATTTTAATATATTATTTGAGTTTCTTAGGTAAAGGTTTGAATGGCTTATTTAACTCATCACTAATGATACTATCTAGTTTTTCGTTTGTTGGTCGAAGAATATTTAGTTCATTTGGATCAGCATCTCTGAAGATAGAATACAGAGATGCTGTTCTTGGGGACAAGAAGCTGAATTCATCGCTTTCTTCGCCATTAGTTGAGTTAAATGTTTGATTTGTATTCATTAGATGCGGAGATAGGGAATACATCTTCTTATTAATCGTTTTTCCTTCTTTACGCTTTATATTGCTTATTGTTTTATTAATACATTCAATTTCATGGTTCAATTCACGCTTAAGTTCATTTATTGCTTTCTTACCTAGATCCTCGAGTTTCTTCACATCATTATCTTGTCGTAGTACAAGTTTCGTATATGCTTTATTCATATTGCTCTGCATAAGTTCATGTACAGCTTCTTCCTCTTTCTGCTGAAGTTTATCAGCTTCCATTTTAGTTTTTCTTGCATCAATATAATCTTTAAATATGGCTTGCTTGCGTTCTATGTATCTAAGTTGTAGTAAACTATTCGAAGGTTTCGAATACTTTGCATAATTCAATGGACTATTCCATTTTTCTTCAAATCTATCAACTTCTTTTTCCTGTCTCTCAAGGAGAGAGTTTACTCGATTTTGGTAATCTTTTTCTAAGTTTTCTATTCTTTTTTGATAAATTTCATTGGTGATATTTATTCTTTCTTGTAATTCTTCAATTCGTCTCTCATCTTTTGCTTTTATTGCATCAATTTTATATCCAAGTTGATTATCTGCTAGAAGTTGCGAAAGTTTTGTAATTGTTATGTCATAAAGAGAAGCTTTATCGTAATCTCCATCTAAAACGAAAAGAATTTTCTTTTTAAAGCATACACGAACAACGCGTTCAAATATATGTGCTAAAGGGAATTGTCCGTACTGTATGAAATTTGTCAGAGCCTTTTCTGCATCTTGGTCATCGCTCATCAAGTATAAAATTTTAAAACGTACAGAAAATCTTCTCAAAAAAAGAAATCAAAGTTATTCGTTTTCCCCATTTATGATAAGGTAGTCACAAAATCTAAGTAGTGAGGCTCTCAAAAATTGAACCGTACTCCATACAAAATTTGTGTACCCTCACTACTTAGATTTTGTGGCCTTCAATTGAGAGGTTAGTTTTGATAGAGCACGTTATAAAATTAAAAGGGAAAAATAAATAAAATTTAAACATTTAATTATATATAATGTAAGGAGTGTAATTCCAAATTTTCTAAAAACTATTCAAATTTGAGCATTTTTTGGAAATAGTAAATCTAATATGTACATCTAATAACAACATGATTCATCACCTTTTCAAGCTCTGCAGTCAATTTTTTGAAATTTGATTGAAATAAATGTAGCAAAAATTACATTTCATTAGGGAATATATGAGTTTCTCTGGAAACAGGCTGATAAATTTTAAATTTTGTCCAATCAACATGAATGCATTGAGAAATTTGGATTGATTTTCTGGTAGAATCTGGAACAATTCAACCATGTATAAATGGATCATGTAATCATCATGAAATGTTAGTGTTAGAGTTCAAAAGAAACAGAATGAGTGGAAATCAAACACAATCTGAATAATTTTAAACGTATACAATCTTTAAGTTTGTATTTTGAATTCTACATATATGATTGTGTAATTCGTTCTTTCAAATTTTCGGATTCAGGCATGTTTTGATAAAATTCATTCCCAAAAACGTCAATTAACAATTAAATTTAGTGTATTTTAAATATATATACGTATTATATTTTATAAATTATATTAAATTCGCAAAATTTTAAGTTTTAAGCAAAAATAAAAAATGTTCAAAATATGAAATTATGCATAGGATATTAAAATTTACATGTTAGCAATTTTTTGAATTGCTTTCAATTTTCATATTGAAATTTTTAAGATTTTTTTTCTGAAATAATAAGCAAGAATATCAACCTAAATAATATTAAATTCCATGCGTTAATTTCCCCTCAAAAGTCATTGACCGCCTCTCAATCTAGATTTTGTGAGTACTTTAGGATGTTGATTCACATTATTGCAACTATGGTAATCAGAATGCATATTAGCCTCTAATATGCCCAGATTAAATGTCCTGTCTCTAAATTTTTCAATAATTTTTAAAAAATTGTTAGAAAAATTTTAAAAATCCTTTTGAAATGCAAGTGTATAATCAATAAAGCATATTGAATTATTTATTTTGCTTTTATTTCCTTAATGCTTAAATTTCAAATTTGGTTTTCCAAAAATTGAATGTGCCGAATACTGAAACAATGATTTTTCTAAATACTAGTCATTTGTGATAATAATAATTTGAATAAAAAAAAAAAAAAAAAAAAAGGTAGTGGGGCTTCTAGGGGCTGCGCCCCTTCTAGCCCTGAAGATGTTTAGTATAACTTTGTCCGGACAAGTAAGGGTCTATCGTCGCTACAGGAAAAGTTACGGGCGTTCCAAGGAAGTATACTTTGAGAAGCCTTTTCTGTCACTTTTCAGGAAAAAAACATTTTTATTATATATAAAATGAATTTTACAAAACCACCGTTACCCTTCTTTGGAAATAAGAGTAGATGTAAAGATATTATATTGAGAGAACTTAAGAAACTACCGAATGGTCTAACATTTGTAGATTTGTTCAGTGGAAGTTTCTATATATCCCATTTGTGCCATACAATATTCCCAGACTCAAAGATTATATGCAATGACTTCGACAACTATATGGACCGTCTCAAACATATTCCAGACACTAACAAAATATTGAAAGAGTTAAAAGAAAAGATACCTATAGGTAAGATGGAACGTATACCATTAGATAAGAAAAATATTGTGAGAGAGGTTTTGAAAAAAGCAGAATATATAGACTGGGATAGTATATCTGCTAGACTATTATATAGTGGTTCTATAAGAGTTCATGACATTGAAACACTTATGTCAAATGTTTTATATCTTAACTATACAAATGTTTTCAAAGAGGACATAGAAAAATATATTGAGGGTATAGAGTTTGTGAGATGTCATTGGACAGAGTTGTATGAAAAATATAAAGACAAGGAAAATGTTTTCTTTATAGTGGACCCGCCGTTCTATAACACATGCGATTTTCAATACCAAGTAGACTGGACTTTGAGAGACTCTTTAGAAACTTTAGACGTTTTACATAACTGTCCATGCTTTTACTTTACATCCGATAAAAGTGGTTTGGAAACCGTTATGAGATGGTTAGAGGACATACATGACTATGAGTTTAGATATGACAAGATAGAATATGAGAGAGGTCCTATAAACCGGAGAAAGTGTCATAACAAAGAAATTTTACTAGTAAGTAAATGTGGTTTGAAATAGGACTACTTGTTTTAGGTTTTTTCCATTGTGTCATTTATTTATTTGACGTGGCAGAAAGGTACAGAGAATATGAAGATGAACCAATGCCTGCAAATGTCCAGCATATGTACTCGTAAGAGATATTTTTATCTAATATTAAATGGACGCACAGAACTTAGCAAATGCACAGCAACCTGGACAACCAAACCCAGAGAATATTCCAAATGAAGTTAGAATACAAACTGCAATGGCAAACTATGGTCAAGTGCCAACAGATGTACAAATGCAAACTGCCATGTCAAATGACGCTGCGTTAGGTTTGCCACCATGGTATGCAAATATGAGATGGAAAGAGTTTTATACAAACCCTGAAGTGGGATATAAACAACTTTATGCAGATGACGCGAACACAGGAGTTGACCCAGAATATGTTTTCTACCAGAGGAGAAACAGAATGTATGAGCTCCAGTTAAAAAATGCTATGGAACTCAGAAGGAAACGTAAGAGACTAGGTGGACATTAGATTTTACATATAGTAAAATGGGTTTTTGGAAGAATAGGAAACTTCTTTCGAAATGTTGGAAGAGGTATATGGAATGGAATAAAAACCGTAGGAAGAGGAATTTGGAACGGAGTCAAAAATATTGGTAAAAGAGTAGGTCAGTTTGTTGTATTATACCTAAAGACCCTGAACCAGAAGAACAAGCTCCTGTTATACAACAGCCTGAACCTGCACCACAGTCTAGTTGGCAACCAAATCCAACACCTCAACCGTATTAAAAAATTATATTTTTACCGTTCGATAGTAGTTGTATATGAAACTAAGTTCTAAGTAAAACGCATGGTATAATGGAACTATTCTCTTTCTTCCATCTGTTGTAAACCATACTTGAAAGTCTGAAATACTTCCACTTGGTGGTTCATATAGCTTTGTAGGTTTTTCGTAAAAGTCATTTGCCAAGCATAAAAAAGAGTTTTGGGCGCCAGAAAATGAAGCATGAACTATAATAGCATCTGAGTCGAAAACATTTTCATATGTTCCATTAGGGTTTTCGACTTCATAAAAGTCCGGGTGTACTGGATATTCTGCAGGCTGATTTAACATCCTCATAAATCTATACCATGCCAAGTTGTTATATTTTGTAGAAATATAAACGTTTTCTCCAAGGTCTTCTATTCTATTGATTTTAACAGTTGCATTTTTCCTGTCATATATAATATCGAGATGGTACTCTCCTTCGTCAATGTTGTACTGTTTTGCATATTCGAGATAGATATCGTTTATTTTTTCTTGAAAAGCTTGAAGAGTTGTTTCTAAGTTTACAAGCAAATTCACTTGTAAAAGTTTTCCCTGTTCAAATTTCTCATACATACGTTTTTCTTTGTTATAGTATCGAACTTCAAAACCGACCGTAAATGGGAAACCATGTATGGCTTCTGAAATGAACTTCATTCTACGAAAGCCAATAGCTTTTGTGACGGATGGGTCTCTTAACCATCTTAACGGGTAGTCAAAACGATAGCCTTCATGCTTTACGGTCTCTGTCTCAAACTTTTGACCTACATTGGTAAAAAGTTCATCTAATGGTTTAGTTGTAGCAACTCTAGAATTTTCTTTTTCTATTGAAAGCATATTTTATCTAGAATAAAAATGTCAAATGAAACAGCGTCTATGAGAGAAATACAACACAACCGACAACTCATTATGCAAGCTCTAAATAAGAACACAACAAACTTTTCAAACTATTCTAAGATATCTGAGTCATTGAAAGAAGGAAACTTAAAACTGACATTAAACCCAATGACAGATGAGTTTCTGTTTCAAGACAATAAGAACCATACTGTCTGTATAAATCCAACAAAAGGAACTTTAAACGAGAAACCTATAAATGAACTTCTTTTGAAAGCAGATGTTGACAACAAAGCTGACAAAGAATATGTAGACGATGCAATAGCAAAAGAAGAAGAAAGAGCTAACAATGCTTATGCAACAAAAGAACATACTCATCCTGAACTAGCAGACAAAACATATGTTGACAATAAAATGTCAAGTGAAGTGACAAGAGCTGAAAACGAATATTCTAAAAAGACTCATACACATTCTATATCTGAAATAACAGACTTAAACGTTAGCCTTGAAAAGAAAGCAGATAAGGGATGGGTGGCTAGTGTGTTAGTGAAGAAGGCGGATAAGGAATATGTGGATGAAAAAGATAACGAAATGAAAGAAAGGGTTGAATGGTACCATGAACGGACATCGAAGATTTTAAAAGGTAAAGCCAATACAGGATGGGTTTCAGGATGTTTAGACCTTAACGCAGATAAAACTTATGTTAACGATGAGTTAGAGAAGAAAGCAAATAAGACTCATACACATACAAGTTTTACAACTGTTGCTATAGAAAGTATTGAAGGAACGGTTGAAGAAACTGGTGGGGATGTATTATATTGGAAACCTCCTAACTTTCCACAAGGTTTAACATCGGATGACGACATAACGACGATGAGAAACATTAGATGTAAAGATGTTTATGTCATGAAGGATGAACATAATATTAAATTCACTGCTCAAGATTTATATGACAAGAAAGCAGACAAAACAGAGCTTCAAACATTAAAGACAGAAATACTTCAAACATTATATCCTATAGGCTCTATTTATACGTCAATGAACTCTACCAGACCAGAAGTAGTACTTGGTTTTGGAACTTGGACTCAAATAGTCGACAGGTTTTTGTATTGTGCAAACTCTTCAAAGGAAACAGGTGGAAGTAAAACGATTTCAGGTGAAAACTTACCTGCGCACAGTCACTACATAGATTTAAGTACATCTCAAGCAGGTTGGCATAAGCATAGATATTGGGATTGGTCAGCAATGACAAAAGGTAAAGGATATGATGTTAAAGACAACGTTAAGTTTGCTATAAATTGTTTCTGGAGTAACACTGAGGGAGGAGGAAACCATACACATCGCGTTTCGGGATATACGCAAACAACGGGACAAAGTAAAGACTACATGCCACCTTACATGACAGTTTACGCATGGTATAGAAATGCTTAGTCGTCATGTTCCACTTCTTTAGCATATTCGTCAGGAGTTGTCTTATATTGGTTAGGAACTGTCTTTGAAAGTATACCACCTTGAACTTTGACAAGTTTGAAACGAGGTCTGACAATAGTAGTTTTATCTTCTGCTTGCAGTCTGTACATTTTGCCATGTTTGCCTAAAACTTCATAATATTCTCTTGTATACTTTCTTCTATTTTTACGAACACGAAGGTGAGTACCTGTCGGGTTCCCATTGTTGTCATAGTCAATAGTATTTTCATATGGGTCGCGTTTAGGTATTTCTATTTTTACTTTGTCACCTTTCTTAAGTTTGAAGCCCGGCATTCTTTCTTGTTTGTCTCTTTTGACTAAACTATTAAATATATAGTCTTTCTCTAAGTCAGGGTTGTTTTTCATTTCTTCGGGGGAGTGGTTTCCCAAACCTTTTTGTTTACGGCTATTGTAAATATTTAAAACTTGTCTCATCTTTGCCTGGGAGAAGTGTCTATACTTGTCGTCATATGACATTTCATTTGCTTCACCACCTTGTGGTTGGTTTAAGTCTCTTAACATTTTTATACAACCGTCAATGACACCAAGAGCAGAATGGTTTTGGTCGACAATGAAATATTGGTTTACATTTTTTGAACGCAGATAGTTTTTTACATCATCTGATTTGAAAGAACTTTCACAGTCAGATGTCAGTTTTGTTGGATGGTATTTGTCAACGAATATTGTCAAAGCTGCTAAGATATCTAAAATATTTTTGGACCATAATGGTATGGCTTCACAGTATCTTGTGTTTTGACCGACAAATATTAGCCAGTATGGTGGTCCATCTTCTCTATACCTCGGAATGTTTTCCAAGATATCCATAAACCAAGCATTTGGTGTTGAACTAAAGATTTTTACCATGAGTGCTTTCTTTGTCGCTTTAGAAACATAGGGGTCCTTGTTTGGATTCGTCATTTTTTAACCCATAAGAAATGGGTTTATTTGGCGCATTAGCAGGAGTTGCATCCAGATTTTTGCCCGCAGTGGGAACAATAGCCAGAGGTGTATTTGGAGTTGGAAGGAAGATTTTGAGTACATTAGGTATACTTAAAGAGAAAGCACAACCTATTATACAAACTGTACAGAAAGGTTGGGATGTAGCACGAGATGCAACAAATCTTATTCCAAATCCTGAAACAAGAGGAAAAGTTCAAGGATGGATGGACAATGTTTCCAGACAAGCAGGAAACTATTATAACAAAGCAAATGACTACTATAACCAAGCAGGACACTATATGGACCAAGGTGAAAGATTCTTTAACAGAGGATATAACCATGCACAACAGTGGGTAAACAATAACCAACCGCAACCACCTCAAACTTGGGGAATGTAAAGTTTTTTACTGAGATGAAATGAACAATACAGCTTTAAGACAAATGGGCTCAAGATGGATTTGTCGACTTCCAGCAGTTACACAACGTGTTTGTCAAGTTCTTCCTATACCTCAGGAAGTTTTAGACCGACTTAAAAAACAACAACAACCAGTTGAAAACAAACCAAACTAAAATTTTTTACTGAGATGAAATGACCGAAGAAGTTGAAACGGTAGATTTGACACCACAAACAAAAAGTTCAGAACCATTGTCAAAACCTGTCAAAGAACTTACAGATGAAGAGAAAAATTCAATAATAGAAAGTGCCAGGTCTGGAAATACAAACCCTAACTACAAAGTCACTTTTCATAAAAATGGAACGGCTAGTATCTCAAAAAAGAAACAGACTCTCACAAATAAAATATTGAAGTCTGAAGGAGCTTTCGAGACAACAGATGGAAAAGTTTACTTCACTGACCATCAGTTCATTATAGAACATCTCATTGACTTAGAGTCGAAATATTCTAAACTTTACAACAAACACAAAAAGTTGAAAGGAAAACAAAAACAAATGGCATATGATATTTATGAAGATGTTGACGACACAACTGTTCCTGCAAGTGAGGTAAAGTCAAAGGAACCGAAAAGTGACGAAAAACCGATAGAAGAAGAAAAACCAAAAACTGAAGATAAACCAAAACCAAAGTTTAGTTTGGAAACTAAACCAAGTCAACCTTCATTAGCTGGTATGGGTTGGCGTCAAAGACTTATGGCTTCAGGTGGTTATGTAAAGTAAAGAGAAAAAATATTTTTTTATTTTTATAAAAAATGCCCCCATATAGAATGGATAGAAAGTCTGCTAGAATAAAAGCAGAGTTGCAAAGATATGGTTGGAGAGTTTCGAAGAATTTTAAATATAGGAAGGGAAGACCCATAAAAGTCTATGACAAACTGGCTGGTCTTCGCTATGAAATGGATTTGGAAACAGCGCGTGCCAATTATCCAAACAGACTAGAGAGGTTAGAAGAAGAACGTCTTATGGACATGCCTTTCGATGTTAGTGAACCTCAAGTTGAAGGACACGACGGCTTTGCCAGATTCTACTGGAAACATGACGAACAATTGCATCCTTTGAGAAGGAAAAAAGGTAGTGCAGAGGATGGTCATGCTCCCATGGAAAGAACAAGATATGCATATGAGAAGTACCGTGAGGTTAGAAGCCAAATTACATCTGGTAGAACCTTTACAGTAAACTTTGACAAAGGAAAGAACAAAGAAGGCTTCATGGGTGTACTTGCTGCCATACAAGACGGAAATAAGAAAGGACACAATCTCAGATTGACCATAACAGATTTGGATGGTCACATTTACTATGCATATGGCAATGTCACAACAGCCGCACAACTTCTTGACGCTTTCAAGACTACAAAGAGAGAACAAATGGCTGACTCAGACTCCGATATTTTGAATGGAATTGAAGGGATTGCAAGTGTCAAGTTCGAATGGCACAAAAATAACCCTCAAGCAGTCAGACAACATGTTTGTTAGATGAGAAATATGAAGTAAAAACGTTTTTAAAACCATATATTTTTACATATATTAAATGCTTCAGGTTGAAAAACAAAGAACAAAAGTAGCAGATACAAAACCGTTAGACTATATCTTTACAAATGCTGGTAGGACTATATCAGATGAAGAAATTTCATCCCGAGCATACAGGTTTGACTATCCAGTTCGTTGGCTTCAAAGTCCTTCAGATGCAAAGGCAATAGGATTTAGAAGAGTTTTGTTTTCAAATAGAACGAACGCATTTATGTTCGCAGTATATTTTCATGGGCAGTATAAAGGTTCTGATGGTCTTATAGACAAATTTGACGAAATGAGGATCTTTACAGTTCGTTCAGACGAAAGTCTTGAGAAAACTCTAAATGACTTTCAAACTCAAATGAACAAATATTATTGGGAATTTCAAGAAAAATACGACTCTTTACTAAATGGAACATACTATCTGAAACTAGAATATGACAAGATGAACTCCACCGTTTCATTTCAAAAGATTGAAATTAACCCTCCAAGAGATACGGAGTTTTTATTTTGGGGAGTAGACAAACGTTCTTGGGCACAATTTCTTCGGTTACTAAACCAGAACGAACCATTACCACCAGATGGTCCATTTAAATTTATACTTCCACCAGCAGATTTGACAGTTTATAGAAATGTGTTTGACCCTCAAAATGTTATGTGTCATGCAAGTTTCAGTTCAAGCAACAATAGTTTTCTATGTATTGGTAAGGACTTTTATGACTTTGCTTCTAAACTCTACGAACCACCTAGTAACAGTTTCTCTGACTTTCAAGTTTGGTTCACAACAAATGGTGTGCAACATATTCTTCCATTGTACTATGACTTTTATCTCGAATTGTCTTTCATATATAACTACGGAAAAGTGCTGAAAAAGTATTGAAAAATAAAGTTTAGGGTAGATGGTTAGATCTAACCTGTTTTCTAACCTGTTTTCTACCCTCTTGAATTTTCATGAATTTCCTTAAGATAGAAAAAAAGTGAGTTAAAATGAGATGTTTACTGAAGGGGTCACCATGTCACCGGGTAACCATGTGTCACCAGGTAAACTAACTTCTTTTAAAAAATGAGACAACATGACATTTTGACAACAGTCGGGAAAATGTCAAGACTTCTTCATCGTAACGAGTGTAAATGAACCAAAAATATAATTTAGGGTAGAAGGTTAGATCTAACCTGTTTTCTAACCTCATTTCTACCCTCTTGAATTTTCATGAAATTTACACCAAAAATAAAGTTTATGTTAGAATGTTAGATCTAACACGTTTTCTAACATGGTCTAAAACTCTCGAAAATCATGATTTTTACACCCAAAAATATAATTTAGGGTAGAAGGTTAGATCTAACCTGTTTTCTCACCCTCTTGAATTTTCATGACTTCTTCATCGTACATGTTTTGTCATGACTTCATCGTAAATGTTTTGTCATGACTTCTTCTTCGTATTCTTTCACCCGTTGAATTTTGTATAAAAACCAACCGCCGGAATTCCGCGGGTTGCTATATTCTTCACAAAATGCTTGTTTTGAGGTCGAGCCATTTTTGGCTCCACCGTATTTTTCAACCAAAACTCATTTTTTTCGGCAAAAATATATTTTAGGTTAGATGGTGAGATCTCAGAACTAGTCTTGTACTGTTTCAAGACAATGTCCGACGGTTAAGCCACAAATATTTTTTATTTTTATTGTAAGAACTGAAATGACAGTCGAAGCAAAAACGTTCACGAACAAATCTAATGGCGAAACATTCACAAAAGGCACTTACAACGGTATTGAAGTCTTACGTAGAGACAAGGATGGTTATATAAATGCAACAAAGATATGTCAGCAGTTTAGGAAAGACTTTAGAAGGTTGTTGGAAAATAAGTCCTGGGAAGAGTATTTTAAGGCATTTTGTGAAGAATATACCAACCCGCGGAATTCCGCGGGTTGCTTTTTATACAAAATTCATGCAGGAATTCCGGATGAAATCAAACAGGTTAGAGGAACGTATGCAGACCCAAGACTTGTAAACTATATAGCAATGTGGGCTTCTCCAAAATATTGCATAGCAGTTGGAAAAATTATGGACTCCATAGACAAGAAAGTTCATGAGAAATTAGATGAAGAAGAACTTGAAGATACAGTAGAGAATGCTAAACCTTTGTTCGAACAAGAAGTTAGAAAAATGTGCGAAAAACAAATAGAACATGAACGTGAGATATGTTATGGTTATAGAGACTCTCCATACGAACTAGACCAATGGGAACAAGAAGATTTAAAGAGAGAATTTAGAGAATATGAACTCGCTAAGATAGCATTTGAAGCTGCAGAAGAGAGGTTAAAAGTTTGGGGTCGTTTTGTACAAAAATATTGTGAGTAAATGAACCATTTCTTTTTATTGAATTCGGCAAAAATATATTTTAGGTGAAGTGGTGAGATCTCACCCGTTGAATTTTGTATAAAAAGCAACCGCCGGAATTCCGGCGGTT